TCCCCGCCGGCTACCCTCTCGAGTCAGTCGAAGTCATAGGCGAGAACCGTGTTGCCGTCAACGAGAAGAAGTGGCAGAGCTGGGTGCGCGCCACGCAGGGTGTCATCACTTTCGCCAACGGCAGCATCACGGACGGCCTGGCCGCCTTCCGGCGAAACATCATTGGTGCACTCAAGGGCCATACCGAGTGCCCCATCTGCTACGCGGTTGTGTCGGCGGATAAGAAGCTGCCCGACAAGAGGTGCAGCACGTGCAATAACTTGTTCCACAGGTTGTGTCTGTACAAGTGGTTCCAGAACAGTAACAAGAACACGTGCCCGTTGTGCCGGAACCCGATTGATTATTTGGGGAGTTCGACGAGGAGGGGTGGAGGTGGTGATTAAGGAGAGGGGGGTTAGCAGTTACTGTGTACATGCCACCAGCGCCTTTTTTTGGGTTGTTGAAAGCGCATTTGTTTGTTCTAGGTTAGGTTATAGCTGAATAGCGAATACACAAAAGGTGGTTTTTGAAAACAGGAGAAGGATGAATCGGTCTAGTTCAAGTATATTAGACCCAGTGGTCCCCTATGACCCTATCCCAATCCAGTATACAACTTTTTTTTCCCTCAACGCCCGTTCGAAGAAATCTCAAGCCAATTGCCCGGAGACCCCCCAACCTATTGTTTACATGATACATTGCTCTGGAAGCAGTCTGAAGTTCGAGCTGGCAAAGGTCAAGTGATGCAATGAAGTGGATGGCGCAAAGTGATCCTTGTAAGCACGCCGAAGCCAAGATAGGAATGTCTTCAAAGATGAATGTCTGAACCGTGGTTTACCGTTGCCATGCGAGCTATCCACCCCCAGGTGTTGACGAAGTGCTTATCGTTAGTAACGGTGACAAGGTTACAGTCATCGCTTCCCTAGCGGCCGATGTCGTGATGGTGCTAAGCAATGGTGAGATGCAACAAGTGCCCATCTTTTAGGCTTGGCTTGCTCCACCAACGTTTTTTTTTTGTCCAAACATAAACCTAAACCTTAATAGTACCGCTTCTCCAGACAGATTGCCGAACCGCTAAACCCCTTTTGAGGTTCTTCGCTACCATTACACTACTGTAGTATAGTGTAGTGTATGACAAGTTGACGACACTACCAACGACCACGACTCGCGAAAGACGGTCAGGACGGGGAGGGTATCAATCTCGTTGTATGCCCCCCACACACAATCCGCATCGCGTGGGGATCGTCGACAATTTCCACCTATTTTGACGAATTCTCCGTGCTGGGAACAAGCCAAAAGAGCAAATAAAAACAGCAATCGTAACCGAGGTCGAGGTCGAGGGAGGGCTGTCAAAGTTCTGGCCTCCTCCACTTTCGCGCTTTACTATGTGATGTAGAGTCACACTGCGGTCCCTATGCAATGTGTATGCAAGGCAAGCTAAAAAGGGTCCGCATTCAGCCCAGTCATCTTGGTCGTCGTTATCGCCATGGAAGATGGAGACGCGGAGATATGCCATGTGGAATGTGGGATGTGGAAAAATCACATAAAGACGGGCGAGGTCCCGATGGTTTGGGTGTATGATGAAAGACCGGAATTACCCTCTGGATCTTGTTGTTGTTTGAAACCTTGAGTCCTGCAGCCCATAGGACCAACCACTGGAAGGTACCTAGACAAGATGTCCTCGACAGACAACAAGGAAACGAAGGTCGAGCTCGGCCCCGTCTCGACGGGGTCAGACGCTGACGAGCAAATAACCAAGCCGGTATCGAGGTTCACTCGATGGTACCGCAGCCCTCTGTTTAACGTCATCATGGTCGGCCTCATCTCCTTCACCCAGCCCGGTGTCTGGAATGCCCTCAACAGCACGGGTGCCGGCGGCGCGCAGGAGCCGTACTTGGTCAACGGATCGAACTCGTTGACTTTTGGGTATGTCTCCTTCCCTATTTGTTCCCTCTTCGCCTTTGAGTCAAGCTAACAATCCCCACAGCATCATGGTCTTCGGCTGCTCCCTCTTCTCCATTCTCTCCAACAAGATCGGTATCAAATGGGTTCTCATCATCGGTACCCTCGGCTACGCCCCTTACTCCGCCTCGCTCTACGTCAATAACCGGTACGGAACCGAATGGTTCGTCCTCTTCGGCGGCGCCCTCTGCGGTATCGCCGCCTCCGCCTTATGGGCCTCCGAGGGCGCCATCGCGCTCGGCTACGCCGACATCAAGGACCGCGGCAAGTTCACGGGCATCTGGCTGGGTCTGCGCGAGCTGGGCCAGCTGATTGGCGCCTCGATCCAGCTTTCGCTCAACGTGAAGAAGGAGGGCAGGGGCAAAGTCGGGTATACCACGTACCTGGTGCTGATTGCGCTGCAGTGTCTTGGGTTGCCGTTTGCGTTGCTGGTGTCTTCGCCGCACAAGGTGATCAAGGCTGATGGGACGAGACTCAAAGATCCGACGTTGAATAAGACGGTCAAGGGCGAATTCAAGAAGATTTGGAGTCTGTTCAAGCGCAGGCAGATGTACCTGCTGGTGCCGATCCTGATTGGGTTTCAGTGGAATAGCACTTATCTGGGGATTTATATGACCAAGTAGTATGTCATCTTTTTCCCTTCCCTATCACCTCCCCTCGATCTTACCTGGAGTGGTCAAAACTAACACCCTGCCAACAGCTTCTCAGTCCGCTCCCGCACCCTCGGCTCCCTCGTCTCCGGCATCGTCGCCACGGCCGCCAACGTCTTCTGGGGCTGGTTCTACGACCGACAATCCCTCTCGCGCCCGACCGTCGCCCGACTCACCTGGGCCTTTTTCGTTGTTCTCATGCTGGGAACCTTTGGCTGGCAAACCGCCAACGAGAAGTTATACGGCGACCTGAAAGCGGCAGGGACCCCGATCACGCTCGACTGGGCCACCCCCGGCTTCGGCCGCGGTTTCGCGTCCATGGTCATTCTCAGGTTCCTCAACGAAAGTCACTACATGTTTGTGTACTGGCTTATCGGTGCCTTTTTCGATGATCTCGAGACGTTGGGACTGGCGGTGGGGATTGTGAGAAGTTTTGAGAGTGTGGGCTCGTGCTTGGCGTTTGGGATTGGCGCGGCGCAGGTCGCGCCCATGGTGAACCTGATTATTGCGTTTGCCATGTTTGGGTTTACGATCCCGGCGACGTCGACGGTGGTGTACATGGTGCCGGAGAGGCCGGTAAATTTGAGGAAGTTGGAGGAGGATGATGGCTCCACTTCTACCACCTCTACGTCTGATGGTGAACCACAAGGCGTTATTGCCGTTGCCGCGGCTGCCGCTAAGGAGGCGAGCATCGAGGGCTCTGTGGTGGCTGCCCTTGGTTCTACGGATGAAAAGGAACGGGATGGAGTGCAGCCGCCGGGTTATGAGCTGAAGTAAGATGAGATGAAGTTGGAAGCGATGGGACGGAAGGAACGGGAGGAACGGGATGAGAAGACAGCCAGGAACTAGATACCCAATCTCGAAATGGCCATTTTGGTACATTTGAGGATACCTACCGTAATAATATGAGCATTATAATCAAGCCTTGTTATCGCAAATTGGCAATCGCGATCTCACATCTTGTGAACACTTGTCGATAAGATGAAACAAATGTCGGGCATCCGGCCAGCATTGAGCACAACCGTTCATCCGAACCCAGGCAGCCGTCTTTGTGGGGGAAGAGATTCGAAGTTGCCTATATAGGTTTAGCGTTTGTGTCAAGTGGATATCAACAGCCAGAAATGGTTTAGTGCCGGAGCGGCCACGCGGGTTGCACCTTCCTTGGGTGCTCAACCTCAAGGTCATCCGTTCGATTCTCGTCGAGGGCAACTTTTCGCCAAACCTTACTATGGGAGAGATGTCCGGGCACGTCCTGGGCACTCTCCCATGGTGAGTACTCATCTTAGCGTAGTCTTCCATAGCGAATAAACTTATCTACAGCGAACATCTAGCGAGTATCCTTATCCCAGCGAACGAGCGAACGAGCGAGCATCACTAACCAACAGCGAGCGAGCGAGCATCACTAACTAACCAACAGCGAACGAGCGAGTATCACTAACCAATAGCGAATAGCGAGCATTACTAACCCATAGCGACTAACCAACAGCGACTAACACATAGCGAGTATTACTAACCAACAGCGAATCCCAAGTGGGATCTGGGTTTTCACCAAGCGGTTTCCCAGCGAAGTATATTTTTTTTTGGTGGTTGTTTTGTTCTTGATTTTCTGTTCTTTGTATCTACAGATCTGCCTGGCAGGTCGTGTGGAAACATGAAAGTTCGGATACGCTTCGTTCTACCAAACAAGACCCATCGAGTGTCCGGACCTTTTTCCACATCATCTGCCTTGATACCCTCCCGCAGTTAAAACATGTGCTGGTGTGACCATTGCTGCGGCCTTGATTGCGTGACTGGCCAGCCCAATGTTGACATACCTTGTGTGTCTTGTTTGCCCCCTTTTGACCCTTTGAGGACCGTTCACGCCCAACCACGTTGCTGGAGACGCTGTGGCAGCGAGGCGAAACAGAGACAATCCAGCGGTTCCTGACCTGGCAAATCCGCACAGACAGCACAGACGGGAGCCCCTGAGCGGCCCGGAATTCAGGGAACAACAAGGCAAAAATAGGGGGGAGCATCATCAGGGCAATTTGGGGTGGTGGAATGTACCTTGCCATACATTCCAGGGCGTAGAGGTACATGCCATCGAACATCTTTAGAGCGACGCCGGTCCCCCCTAAAGTGGGTCAGCTAGAAGATCTCGTGGATCCTGTCATCTGGGGGAGGAGGTCTTAACTAGTGCGCCTTGTCACTGGATCGGGCTCCCTTGACCAGGCCGTAACAAGCCGTTGTTCGCTTTGTTCGAGTCACTTTTAGGTTTCTTTGTCCTACCTCTTCTTACTGTTGTGCTTAGACACTTTGCGATGCGAATATCAGAAAGCGAGCACTGCTAGAACTAGAGGCGGGATTGCACCACGAACGAGCGACATCGGGCGACACAGATACCATACCTACCGTAAACAGAACAGCAGCAGCATGGCAGCCGACTCACTACTTCGAGCCGTACTTCGGCGCAAAGTCGAGTTTCTTCGCCATGTCCGCCAGCGCCGGGCGCAATACTCAACCAAACCTCCCACAGCCGGCGAGCAGATCCCGACACCGGGCAATGTCCCTAACCTTCCCTTCTGGCAGCGGCTCGGGCCCTTGACGAGGGCAGCCTTCGCATATGCGCGCGCCCAGCGCAAGAGGCCATACACCACCCAGGTGGCCACGTCGCTGGTCATCTACTTCTTTTCTGATATTTCGGCGCAGAGGATGGGCGGGAAGGACTATGATCCCAAGCGGACGGTGCGGTCGCTGATCATCGGGTCGATATCGTCGATTCCCAGTTTCAAGTGGTAGGCGCAAAGCTCTCCTCCGTACCTTTGTCTTGTCTTATCTTGTCTTGTATATGCGATAATGCGACCCGAGAAGGATCTTGAAGACTGACTTGTTTTGGTTTGCGCCTGCAGGACATTGTGGTTGTCCAACAACTTTAATTACTCGTCGCGCATCCTCTCGCTGGGCACCAAGGTGGTGGTCAACCAGCTCTGCTTCACCCCAATCTTCAACTCGTACTTCTTCGGCATGCAGGCTTTTCTCGCGGGTGAGAGCTGGAAAGATATCGTGGAGCGCATCCGGGTCACGGTACCCGTGAGCTTTGTCAACTCGTGCAAGCTCTGGCCGGCCGTGACGGCATTCAGCTTTACATTCATCCCGATGGAGTACCGGTCGCTGTTTGCGGGTGTGGTCGCGGTTGGGTGGCAGACGTATCTGAGTTTCTTGAATCGGAGGGCCGAGGATGGGAAGGCGATCGAACAAGCGGCGCCGGCGCTGGCGGCAAAAGCGATGGAAGCGGAACCCACACAGTTGAAGGCGCGACAGGTAGAGCTCTCGACGCGACCAGAGATGGCGATGGCGGCTGCGAATTAGCGAATACGGCGGCGATAAGAGGAGAGAGCATTTTCACCGGGGAACTAGAGGAAGGGTGGTTATTTTTGCCAATTCTGGGGTTGCATAGTTGTAGACATCACGGCATTGCATGGGTCGGCGTTCTTGGGGCGGTCTTTTTTGTTGGTTGCATCGACATAGAGATACCTGTATCGTTTCAGTTGAGCGAATACAATTTTGTTGTTGTTTTTCTTTTTAATCTGTTCTTCCCGACTAGAACATGGTAAGGTACCGTAATAAACGAGGAGGAACAGTCAGATGATGCTGTGCCAAGGGAATGTAATGGAACTGTTTTTCAAAAAAGGCGCCCGGGCACTGATGACGGGAACGACCCCCATCGATTCCATCTTCAATCAGCATAGGGGCACATGGCAGTGGGTGGGAATTATAGTGGTGGTGGAGTCAGGTACCCGCCTGTTCTCCAGTTGACATCGGCCCAAAACTGGTGGGGTCTCCGCTCTCGGTGGTCTGAGTCGGGCGGGAAACACCAGACAGCGGCTGGAGTTTCGGTACAAGTGGAACGACAGGGCACCTCATGAGCTTCCGGCTCCGAGTCGTCCCCGTCCCATCTAATCGCCCGTCGCCGTTCAACTCCACCCTTCCCTTGGCTCTCGCTTCTCCTCCCGCTTCGAGTCTCAACGGAGCTAACCTTCCTCTCCCTTCTCCGCCAAAACATTGAGTGTTAGCTTGGTCCAGCAAACACTCGACAGCCCTCACAATGGCCCCCCCCTACCTCAGGACAAGACCTGCCCTCTCAGCGGCCCTCCGCCCTCTTGCGCCCAAGCCAAGATTCCAGTCCTTTCCTCGTCGCCCAAACTCGACAACAACGCCGACGACCACCACCACCACGGCTACTCCCACCGAGCCCACAAAAGCTGCCGTCGTCGATCCCTCGAGCCTTTCCCGCCGTCTAAAGCTCTCCGCCTACGCCACCGCTCTTGCTGCCGTTCTCGGTGTTGGCTACTACTACGCGACAGACACGCGCGCCTCCGTCCACCAGTACCTCGTTCCTCCCCTCCTTCGCACCATCTTCCCCGATGCCGAAGAAGCCCACCATGTTGGAACCGCCGCCCTAAAGGGTCTCTATGAGACTGGCCTCCACATTCGCGAGAGGGTTCCCGAGTATCCCAACGGCCCCTTGTCGGTCAATGTTTTCGGCAAGCAGCTTCTCAACCCTATCGGCATCTCTGCTGGTCTCGACAAGGACGCCGAAATCCCTGATCCCCTGTTCGCCCTCGGTGCCGGTGTCGTCGAGGTGGGCGGCTGCACTCCCTTCCCCCAGGAGGGCAACCCCAAGCCCAGAGTTTTCCGCATTCCCTCGGTCGACGGCCTGATCAACCGCTATGGTCTCAACTCCCGCGGCGCCGACGCCATGGCTACCCGCCTGCGCGAACGCCTTCGCAAATTCGCCCGCTCTGTCGGCCTCACCGACAACGAGGTGCTGAACGAGGAGGGCACTGACGGCATCCCTCCCGGCAGTCTCCACCCCGGTCGTCTTTTGTGTGTTCAGATCGCCAAGAACAAGAAGACGGACGAGAAGGATGTCAATGCGGTTATTCGCGACTACGTCTACTGTGTCGACAAGCTCGCCCCCTATGCCGACGTCCTTGTCGTCAACGTCAGTAGCCCCAACACCCCCGGCCTACGCGACCTACAGGCTACCGAACCTTTGACCAAGCTTCTTTCTGCGGTTGTGGATGCGGCCCAGCAAACCAAGAGGAAGACCAAGCCGAGAGTCATGGTCAAGGTTTCACCCGATGAGGATGATGACACACAGATGGAAGGCGTTGTGGAGGCTGTGTGGAACAGCGGTGTCGACGGTGTTATTGTCGGCAACACCACCAAGCGCCGGACCGGCATCGTTCCCAAGGGGGTCAAGCTGATCGACGACGAGCCCAAAATTCTCCACGAGGAGGGAGGCTTCTCTGGCCCTGCTCTCTTCGATCGCACTGTTAATTTGATTGGGAGGTACCGCAAGATGCTGGACGGCTATGCTCTCAAGTCCCAGTCCGACAAGAGCCCTGCGCAAAAGGTTCTGTTTGCCTCTGGTGGAATCACCAACGGTGAGCAGGCCTTGAGGGTTCTCAATGCTGGCGCTAGTGTGGCCATGGTGTACACCGCCATGGTCTATGGTGGTTCTGGCACCATCACCAGAATCAAGTCCGAGATGAAGGAGAAGCTCGCTGACAAGTCGGCATAAGGCCCCTCAGGTGGGTTTACTCAGGATCCTATGCTGTAAATAAACGTGCGTCTTTCACCAAAAAATACCCTTCTTCGATCTGCCTTGATATATTCACCTCATGAAGCACACTATTTGGGAATGATACCTGGCTAAGATCTCGACTATCTCCCCGGTCGACCCAATATGGTTTCATATGACAACCAACTTCGCGGTGAACTCGGAATGGGCTTCTGTGCCGACCTGAATATCTGGACGGCTAGGTACATTTGTTTGTTCAAAACAAGAGCAGACCGCTACGACCATTCACCATGACAAACATGTGCAACCCTCCCATGACATATGCGTCAATCCGGGAATCGAGTAACAGTTTTGAGGTCGACGATGTGGGCCACGCTCTTCTATCCACCAGTCGCACGTTTCGTTTCCATCCTCTTCGAGTCATAAGGCTGGAATCTGGGTGTCTGTGGCGATGCTTGCCCCTGGCGATATCAGACTGCTACAAGGGTCAAACCCAGACCATGATGCACGTGGCTCTACTTCTAAACTATCCAGACATCCTCGAGCCCTCGTGTCTTGTTTCATCCGCGTCCCTTCCACACACTTTACACATGGCATCATATGGGAATACCCTCCTCCCGCATTGCCCAGGGGTCTCAAACTCAACACACCCACGCAATTTACAAGGCGCGGGTTGGTTTTCAGCATCTCAGAAACTACTTGGTAGTATTGGGGAACCTCAACAGTAATTAGGCATGAAAGCAATGGGCAAGGCGCTGCTACTATGCATCCACCTCAGGGCATGGCCATACTCGCTTGCATATTGGTGGTAACAGAACTGTCATATGGAGGAGGGTCCTCGCGTCCAAGTAGCTTTGATATGTGCTAACCTGGCACGCACCGGGTTACGCATCCTTACAAAGGAACCACTATCAAATTTGTCTGATATCCTCCCGGTTAATTAATAGCCGCTTCTGTCGACTTGCACAAATCCGGGAGACACAAATTCAAGAAGTAAACAAAGCCGAAGCAAGGTATCACAACACGATCTACCTCAAGGAGGCTTTGCCGCGTTGTTCTACGTTCTACATACCTCAATTTCCGGTACTTGGTAGTACCACAGGACTTGGGCAAAGGAAGGACAAAAGGAAGGAAGCCGGATCTCTTTATACACATGTTACACATACATATGCGCTGCTGCTGTGCAAGTGACACAGGTACAGGCACTTCGAGAGATATGGAACGCACCTAGCGAACGACCTAATGGGTGCAATAGATCTGAGAGCCCCAGGAACCCATGTAGCTGGACTTATATGCCCCAAGGGCGATAACCGAGAAGCATGGGGATAGTGATGCCGAATGGCTTTGGTTGTCTATACTGCGTAGGGTGTTCTGGGTGTGTAACCTTCCTTTCTCCTTGCCGATAATTCCCCTTTCATCTCACATACAGATAGATGCTGGATGGCCTTTGTACCTGCTGCCAGTCCTCGCTGCTTGAGGGACAATCAAAGTTGGTTACAGTTACACACGCAAGGAACGCACATACTCAGAGATGCAGAGACGGGTAGCATAGGGACACTGTGCTTCTGACAACATGGCTTCCATGCTTTCATATATGCCTGACATCTATAGAACAGCCATACCGAAGTCGGATGTGGGTAGGCTAGTTACTTTTGATTATACACGATATTATAAAGGCCGGCAGTCGATATAAAGATGTGTGTATGTACGCAGACTACCTCATGTTATGGGAGACTTGGGAGACCAGACACCAGTGACGGTGACACGATTTACCTAGTCCAGTACTACTTCTGCGGCTCTCCGTGTCTCCGTCCGTGTACGCCGTCATCATGGTTTCCTCTGTACTCCATCCTACCTGTACTTCCATGGTTGTGATCATTCTCAAATACCACAGTCTGTCTCCATTGTTCAGATACCTCGACTTTGAATTTCTTGCCTTTTCTCTATCTCTCCACAATGGGACAGCAGCAGCAGCACGTGGGAAATAAGCTTCGTGTTTCACCACATTGTCTCTTTTACTAGCTCTATTCTAGGAGCTGGAGCTGCTGAGCTTGACTTATATCTATCTACTTTACCTCAACGTCAATCCTGATATTAGCCTCTTTTTGTTTTGGTTTTTGGTCTGGTCACACCTATACGAGGGCCAAGAGGCCAAGGAAGAAAGACAATGGGCATTGCTTCAGTCATGAGGCGCTCCTTGTCACTTTGGGATCTTTTTGTTCGAGTTCTTCTGTTCCTGATTCTTCTCTCCCCGCCGGTGAGAGCTTATAATACCTCAAAAACAGTTATCTCAGAGATCTTGGAAGGTTATCCTAGTTGCGCGGTAGGTACACCCCTGAACACTACATTAAGTATCATGATTCTCGAGTCAAGCCACACCACTCTTATCTCAACCATCTTAAACGTCAGACCAGGAAAGCTAACACCCCCTTTTATTCCCAGGACGAGTGTATAACCCCGCTCCTCACGCTTTTTCCCTGCTCCTACAACAACGCCTCAACGTCCTCCGAACTCCTCACCTGTCTATGTTCTCCAGACCCTCACCACCGCCCCTCCCTCACCTCCTGCCTCACCACCTCCTGCCGCCCAATCCCCTTACTGTCCGCCCTCAACCAAACCGCCACCCTCTGCCACGACACGCCCCGCAACCGCTCCTCCCAATTAATAATCTTAACACTCACCCTCGGCACACTCAGTCCTCTCCTCGTCCTCTCCCGTCTTTTCTTTCGGCTGCTCACCCACCCCTCCGGCGGCCGCCGTCTCGGGCTCGACGACTGGGTCATTTTTTTGAGTATCCCCCTGGGAATCCCCTACACGGTGCTCATCGCCCACTCGCTCGCTCGCGCAGGGATCGGGAGGGATGTGTGGACGCTGACGCCCCAAGAGGTGACGTGGTTTCTGAAAGTGTTTTATGTGTTGATTGAGTATTACGTGGCCATCATGACGTATGTGAAGATGCCGTTTTTGTTCATGTATTTGCGGATCTTTGGGGAGAATTGGTCGAAGCGGACGAGGAGGGTGTTGTGGGGCACGATGGGGGTGGTGGTGTTGGTGGGAGGGGTGTTTTTGTTGCCGGTGGGGTGTAAGCCGACTGTCAAGTTTTTTTGGGAGGGGTGGGATGGGGAGCATGAGGGGCGGTGGTGAGTTTCGCCTTTCATTTTTCTTTGGTTTTTGAGTTTTGGTGTGTTGTCTTTGGTATTGAGGAGGGAAAATAGAAGAGAAAAGAAGTCAAAAGGGCGGGGGAAATGGAGGGAAAAGAAAAGGAAGAGGAATAGATTGCTGATCGTGAAAACAAAACATAATAGTGACAACATCAACGCCTCGGCATGGACCCTATCCATCGTCACCATCGTCCTCGACCTCTGGATCATGGCTATCCCGCTGTCTCAGCTCCGAAAACTTAACATGGATTGGAAGAAGAAGTTGGCCGTGGGTTTGATGTTGTGTGTAGGAGTTTTGTGAGTTTCTTCTCTCTGCCTCTTGATTTCCTCACCTTTTGCCCCCACCTTACCCGGGCCCATGTCTAATGTCCTCCCAGCGACACAATGATCTCCATAATCCGCCTCCATTCCCTCCTCGCCTTCCAGCCCTCGACCAACGTTACCTGGGACTACTACCCCGTAGCCGTTTGGTCTGCCGTCGAATACCACGTCGCCGTCATTTGCGCCTGCTTGCCTGCCATGCGCCAGTTGCTGGTCAGGGTATTCCCCATATTGGAGAGTAACGTCGGGAAGAGCAACGGCAGTCACGGTGTCGGTGTCGGTGCCGGTGATGGCGTTGGTAATGGAGCAGGACGGAATGTTCTCAGGCCTGGAACGCATCAATATCAATGGCAGGGACAGTCGAGAGATATAACTGGCCGGAACAGATGGCCATTGACAAGGGCAAGGGCGACAGAAACGGAGAGTGAGAGGGACATTGTACTTGGGAGCTTCCGCAGTAGTGCTAGGAGTACCGATGTGGAGGTTTTGGAAGTGGATGACGTGGAACGGCAGTCTGCGGGTGTGAGGATATTGGCAACTTCTTCGCTGGATAGTACCGAGAAGAGAAATGGGTTCGGGTTGAGTATCGTGGGCTGTAGGATGGAAAGGGATGGTTGTGCAGACACCGAAGTGTTTTCTTCAAGCCGACGATAGCTTTGGGTGTTAAAGTTCATGTTGGGCCTGGGATAATCAGGATGCCCTCGCAACGAGTCCCTGGTTTGTATGTACCACTCAAGTGGTATAGGCAGATGTTGACTATATGAAGTCGAGTTCCCACTTTGCCGTGGCTTGTTATATGTGAAATATTTTCGTTCGATCCGGATAAGTTCTTATGTGCGAGTCTCGGAACGATAGATAAAGATCATCAAGGCTAACTAACATATGAACATTGGTACTCTGAAGTCGACTCCTGCAACTCGCAGAACAAAACAACTTGTTATACAGCCTAATAATGCTGGTGTGGTGATTTGGTCCTTTTGGATGAGCCCTTGCTCAAGTTTCCAGAAGCTAAGACAAATCACAAGGGTTACCCTAAACCAAATACATGTCCTGCGTGTTAATGTTTGCGTACTATTGACCATCTTAAGCACATCCCCTCGAGTAAAATGCGAACCCTTGATATCCAAATGCCTGAAATCAACCAATGGCTCACACCGATAGACCCTTCAAGATGCCACATGAATGCTAAAGGTAGTTACGTCCTGAACTACCAAATTGACCAATACCAAAAGTCAACCACTTGAAACTTTCAATGTGGTGTAGACGCCAGCAAAAAAAAGAGTGAAGTTCAGCATTGGAGCATCACCAAAACAGCAAAAGTGCAAAAAACTATGACAAGAGTGGGATTCGAACCCACGCCCTTTCGGACCACGGATTTGAGTTGTAACTCAGATTAAGGGTTAACCTTAACGTGGCGCCTTAGACCGCTCGGCCATCTTGCCTTCGTTGTTAGAAATGAGTGCTGACAGTGGGCACAAGAACCGACACCAGCTGCAGCCGACACCACGCGATGGATAATAGCACTCCGTAGAAGGGGATTGAAGGTTGAGACCATATTGATATTTGTATAATGTTCGTCGCATTCGTGTATTTACCTGAGGCTATCGCTAGAGTAACCACTTGGTGATGATCATGATGGATCCAAGTGGTGGTGTGCGATGAATAAGGTATGTTTGGCTCTTGCGGTCAGGGGGAAGTTCTGATGAGGGGGGAACAAAGCGTGAGTTTGAGCAGGATTAACGAGGACTACAACTGGCAGAAATAGAAAAAACGATAGTGAAATGCCAACTGAGTAGCAGAGTTAGCAAGTTGGATGGAAGCAAAACCACAGTGGACGTGAAAGAAAGAGAGGGATGAAGTTGGATCGGAGGGTTGGACAAGTGGAAGTTCCATGGAAGGTGAGCCTCTCGACATACGCCGTGTAGGCCAACAAGGGACTCGCAGCTTCTGACCAATGGGAGACTTCAAAGCAGATAGCTCCCCACTGTTAGCCGGGTTCTGCGTTGCTAAACTGCCTGCCGGCGGATCCGGCAGCTGATAAGCCGCAAGCGGTGCTGGCATCGATGCTGGCGCATCGTCACGAGGAACAACACAGACACCTTGCTAGCTGCCTGGACGTCAACTGCTTCTTCGCGTGCTTATCGTTGTTGATTTCGCTAGTTCAGCGGTGTCAAATTCATCCCCCAAACTAACCGAAAGCCATTGAAACTTTAGGGACGATAATGGCAATCTCTAAGCAGCTGAAGCTGTTGCTCACCAGCGGCTCGCTTATCGCAGCCGCGCTGGCCAGTCCCGTACAGAAGCCACTCAACGACGACGACATCGACGACACACCACTGCCGCTGGTCATCTGGCATGGTAAGCCCGGTAGACTTATGCGTCATCTCCAACAACTATTCGCAACTAACCATCTCCCGTTACAGGCCTAGGAGACAGCTACTCGGCCGCCGGCCTGCGTGAAGTCGGCGCCCTTGCCGACGCCATCAACCCCGGCACGCTCGTCTACTTTGTCCGCATGGACGATGACGGCAGCCGCGATCGTTCCGCCACCTTCCTCGGCAACGTGACCGAGCAAGTCGCCAAAGCCTGCGCCGACATCGCTGCGCACCCCATCCTCTCGACCGCGCCCGCCATCGACGCCCTCGGCTTCAGCCAAGGCGGCCAGTTCCTGCGGGGGTACATCGAGCGTTGCAACAACCCGCCTGTCCGCAACCTCGTCACCTTTGGCTCTCAACACAACGGCATCAGCGCCTTCCGCGACTGCCCCTGGTCCGACTGGGTTTGCCGCGGCGCCATGGCGCTGCTCAAGGGTAACGCCTGGACGCAGTTTGTCCAGAGCCGGCTCGTACCCGCGCAGTACTATCGTAACCTGGACGAGTACGAGCAATATCTCGAGCACTCCAATTTCCTAGCAGATATCAACAATGAGCGGATGTTCAAGAATCGGACCTACAGGGAGAACCTGGCCAAGCTGGAGAATCTGGTACTGTACATGTTTGAGGACGACACGACGGTGGTACCCAAGGAGACAGCTTGGTTTGAAGAGGTCAATGGCACCGAGATTACGCCCCTCCGCGCGAGGAAGATGTACTCGGAGGACTGGATCGGGCTGCGTGAGTTGGATCGCAAAGGCGGATTGCACTTCCGCACGGCGCCGGGCGATCATATGCAGCTTACGGACCAGTTGCTGAACGAGACGTTTGCCGAGTTCTTTGGGCCGATAAAGAAGGCCAAGAAGAGTGCTCCGAGGCCGATTATGCTTGGGGCTGGTGACCTCTGACGACGATGCATAGTAGTTTTGGTCAAAGGTGCCTTGTGGAATTCTGAGGGGTGGTTGGCTCCTCAATATATAGCAGCAGCTCTGTTTTAGGGATTTTTTTTCTTAGGGGTTTGGATTTAGGACAAACAATTCGATCATTTCAAGGGTTGGAGTCATGGACATTGGATGATTAATGGTAATGGCAATTGACATTGGGACCTAAAGTAATGGTCAATCGCTGTTGACCATGGCAACTAAGAACCTCGGCTGTTCTTCAACAGTTTAAGTGCTTGCATCACTACCAAGCAAGGGATCGATCTCCGCCTTGACTAATGACGAAAACACAATTATAATGCAAGGTACGGGGTGGGCTTTGAGACAGCGCATGGCATGCTCTTTGAGTGTGAGTCGAACAAGATGGGGGGTTGAAGAGAGCAGTTGACCCGAAATGTTGACTAAGGATTTCGATCGAGATAGTCATCAAGTCACTTTATAGGAAACACCATTTGTATGCATGTGGTGGGTAGAGGTAGTGAGCCTGTATCCAGTCCAAGTAGGAGAGCTGTACTGAAGCCCAAGTGAAAACAGCTCGAGAACTCGAGATGGCGCAAAAGGGAGGTTGTTGTCCGTTCGAGCGGTCATCCATTCCATTGCTCGGCAATATAAAGGCTGGAACAGCTTGACCGAAAACTGAAGGATCGAGGGGTAAGTACTAGTACCTGCTGACCGGGTACGGAGGTGGAGCGAACCAAGCTTTGCACGTTGCGTCGCGGTGTAAACGCGCCAGACTCGGACTTTGGGAAACTGGCAGGTGGTTGGTGAGTTACTATTGTTTGGACATCCCGTTATGGATTGCCGTGGAAGGAAACAAGCTGATATGCAAATATTGTAGAGACCTCGGGTGCCATTGCATTATCAGAAGAGAAGAGCCAAGGGGGGCTCTGCACAATCCGAGCTTTTTCAATGGTGGAAACGCCATCGGTCATGAATTTGATGAATACGACCGTCAAGAGGAGTAGCGGTAATCGTAGAGTAAACAATCCAGCATGTTCGTGGGACCTCTCGTGAATATTTGAATGTTGGAAAAAGCAAGGACGTCATAAGGCAACTGAAATGGATGAACTCTCAACCGGTCGATCAGCTGCCTGAGATCCATGAAAGTGTGAATAAGAAAGCGTCCATTGACCTTGATCTTCCGCTCCACGAATAATGGCTGTTCACCAGAGAATGGCGGATACAATAGAAATAACTGAAAAGGAGTGGGAAAATGACTACAGCCTACCTTAACAAGATACCTAATGGACAAACAGAGGCACGAGTGGAGCTGGAGGTTTGCTGTGATCTGAGAGCAGGGAAAAGGTCCGGGTGTCGGGTGCCGAGCATGCGGGCACCTCCAGGGCAGGGGCAGGTATTCCATCCCCGACCTCCCGCCGTAACTCGGCCCGCCTGTGCCTGCGCTGTAGCTTCCACTTCCGCTGATCGCCTTGCCCAGCAGTGGCATGACAGTGCGGTACAGCCGCTAGCAGACCAGACGGACCCCCAAGAATGCGTGTTCCCTTGCCCGGTTCCCGCCCGTCAGTGGCACTGCTGGACACGCTGCCAGCCCAGGCAGTCCTCCACCCAACGCCAAAGGCGCGATCCAGACACTGTCCTGCGTGGCACGACAGGCACGACTAAAGGCTCAGATGCGCCAGCTTACAGGCTGCTGCCAGCGCCGCGTTGAACGGATGGAACCGCAGGCACGTCCGGGTCTCAGGGCCACAATGGAGAATCGCGTCTTTCTACCTCCAACTTCCGTGGCTGAGAGTTGTCGTCTGGACAGAAAAAAAAAAAAGCCAGGAACGCTCACCCATGCTCCTTTTTGGTGAATGGGTCCCACAGGCACGGGCGCGAAATCCAGATGGTGCATATCGCCTTTTTAAATACTTTACTCATCCCCACTCCCTTCGTTCCGCTACAGTACCTGTTTCCTCTGCCCTGGCGTTGCTTGCCTGGTCCCATCATAGAACTGAAGACAGGCCAGATGTGCAAAGCCTTGTCTTGATTCGCAGAACCCCGTCTTTTGGCTTCTTGACGATTCCCATCCCTTGGCTTTCTCTTCCTTTTCCAGCTCTGTTTTCAGACCCTTTTCCCGTTCCTTGTTGCAGGTAAACAGACCGCGGAGACGGGATAGGAGACCTGGTGGCCCAATCCAAGCCAGGAAGTAGGCAGCTGGACGGCAGTGGACGGCAGCTGTAGCGGAGAGGGGGCAAAGACTTCACATCGGACGCGATCTGGACGTGGAGAACGCGACCTTGGAAGCGCATCCAATCTGAACCTCACCTCAGGTCCTGGGCCACACATACCTCAATATCCCAATCCGAGCAGGCTTCCACCACCCCGGCCTCTTCCAGAGCTCAATTCCTCATCCTGTCCCGCCAATTGTCATGACCAGTACCTGACAGGATCACCACAACATGGATTCATCCCCATCGGCAATGAAGACCCTCGGCGGGATGGAGCCAACCCTGCCCTCGGTAGCAGGCATCAAGCGCCCGGCCCCGTCACTGCTGCCGCCGTTTGAGCCTTTGTCCTCGTCCCCAGGTCTGCCTCGGCCTTCGAAGCGGCAGGCCACGTCCAATGCCTTTCTGAAATACCCAACGCCCATCCCGACATCGAGTACTGGCATTCTGTCGTCAAGCCCTCCACGCGTCGGGTACAACTATGGATATGCCGCCCCATATATGGCCCCCCGCCCCGGCCTTCAAAGGACCTTGTCGACCGTGTCGGAACGCGCGCCCCTTTCCGACGTACGCGCCGTAGTTATGAAAGAGAATGGAGAGACTCTTCTGATGGGAAGGTCCAGCAACTCATCTCACTATCAGCTGTCGTCGAACAGACTGGTCAGCCGAGTTCATGTTCACGCTCGGTATATCCCCGCCACGGAAGCGCTTGAGCCCAACAAGGTCGAGATTACGTGTACGGGTTGGAACGGTTTGAAGCTGCATTGTCAAGGGCAGACATGGGAGCTGGCAAAGGGCGATTCCTTCACTTCGGAAACCGAGGGTGCGGAGATTATGATCGATGTTCATGACACCAGGGTCCTCGTGCAATGGCCGCCGCGGGAGAAGGATCGGGACTCGTCGGCCCCCTTGAGCGACTCTTCGTGGGATGAGACACCGAGGCCAATGCGACGTGGCCGGCGACCAGGCTCCGACTCGGACGAGGGCAGCCCCATTCGACGACCGAGACGTATCAGCAGCCCCGAGTCACCTACACCTGCCAACGGATCGACTTCCAAGGCCGACCTGGACGACTTGTTGTCTGACAATGATGAGGATGGTGCCGCCGTTGAGATCTATGAGGACGAGGAGGAGGATGAGCAGGAACTGCCCAAGTTGACAGATACGGGCAGGGGAGATACTACCTTGATCACCAGCGTGGACCAGAGCTTTTCCATTTCGAGTGACCTGAGCGATCCACAATCAGATGAGGATTACGCCGACCAAGATCCGGATGAGGAGAATGACCCCATCATACCTTCGTTTGGTCCCTGCGGCGAGAACCTGTCTAGCCGTCTCGAATCCTTCACCACCGCCACTTCACCTCCGAGAGCCCGAACTCCCGATCGCGACTACAGTGGCAGCTCCGATGGAGAGCGGGCTGGTAGTGTCACCCCGAAGCCTCTGAAGTCGTCAAGCGAGAACGTAGCAGGCGCCTCTCGGCAGGCCTCTCCCACTCCAGCTCCTCGCTCACCATCGCCCGTCAGCAAGCTCAGCGAGGAACTGACAGCGACGATTTCGAATCATGTCATCAACCAACTCGCCTTCTCCAGACTGTCTTCCACGCCTTTGTCGACCATTATGAACAATCTTCCTGCGGATGATCGGAGACAGGTGACCAAGGATGAATTGCGCAGGCTCATTGAGGCAACAGCTTGCATCGGTATCATTGAACGCCAGGGCAAGGATGCTGCCGGTAAGCCGCTTGAAAGCGAGTATTATTATGTGCCCGAATTCGACACGGATGAGCACCGTCGCCTGGCTGTGACGGACGGCTTGCGGAAGCCTAGCTTGAGGGCCTGCCGCAAGCAGCACAAGGTAAGCGTTTTCCTTCTCTACCGCCTAACCGTTTGCTATGCAAGATCATTCGGTTAACATGTCGTGTCCACCCGTAACAGCAATACTATTGGAAGAAACCTCGCACTCCTTGATGGTATCACCACAGCCGCCCTATCATCATCACATTACCCCATCACCGCACCCCACCTCCCCAACATCCATCCAACATCCACCCAACACCCATCCAACACCCTACCCATACCCATTGTGCCATTTTTTCCCCGAACCCGCTATGGCGTTAGGTTGTCAAGGCGTCTACTACGGGGAATCGCTGTTTGTGTTTTTCGCAAAAGAAAAAAAAAGCCGACGTAAGCCCCTTTCACTGTCCATGTTGACACGTCATGAGGAGTTCATTGTGTCTCCCAAACTCTGTATTTGCATGCTTCGGGGGGCCGCATAGCGCAGGGCGTCGTTTTTTGTTCGATTTATATACATGTTTATCAGGCGTCAGCGTCTGTGTTGTAGTTTTGCGCCCATTGGCCCAGAAGAGAAGGAAGAGAAAGAGGACGATGAGTTTCGAGTCAAGACCTGCTGTGGAGGTCAACCGGTGCTGTTGAGGGAGGGACAGTTATTTGCCGGCACGACATGGAGGAGCATCTTGAAAGAAAAGCAAGAAAGTTGTATCACTGCTTGAAAATCCAAGTAAAGATGATGAGATGAGGGAGGTGTATAACTGGCTGAGGTTGTCTGGCCTGGTGTATGAGGTAGCTGCTAGCATTGTAGATGTGAAGGCATCTACAAACCAAATGAAGATGGCTATCTACACCTACCTAGTCAGGCTGTTTTGCCGGTGATGTTGGAAGAAGACACCGACGCATATGATAATAAAGAAAACCCCAAGCTCTGGTCCCAACAGCGTGGATGGAAGAGCAGCTGCAGTCCGTCTGCCGCCAATAGCGCCAGGCCCAGACAATCACAGGCAACGTATGCCCCACATTCCGTAAACCCACTTTCCACATTTAACCCCTGTTTAGCTTATCGATAAGCTTAATAGCATGGAAAAAAATAAGCGTCAGTGCACCGACCTCCCAAAATTTCCAGAGGGTGCCTTTCTGTCGCCCTGGGAAGAAAAAAAACACCTGGGACTCGTATCGCAATCGTCTCAACTCACACCAACCCCACCCAAAGATATCTTCTTTTCCCAGCCAACGAAGATGTCCAAGTCCACAGCCGTTGTCAAGGCGTCTGACGCCGTCGCCTCTCCCGTTGACCCTAAACAGGTTTGTCTTCTCTTGATCAATGCAATTGGCCTGATCCCCGACTTGCTAACCCTCCAAATCAACAGATCACCAAGGCTTCCAAGGCCCTTCTCGCCCACATCAAGAAGGCTACCGCCGCCTCTACTGCCGTTTCCAAGAACCTTCTCGCCGATGAGGAGTCGACTGTTGCCGAGACCCCGATCTGGCTTACCCTCACCACCAAGAAGCACATCGCCGACACCAACCGTCTGCAGCCCTCCAAGATCGTCCTCCCCAACCCCCTGAACGCCGATAACGAGTCTACGATCTGCATCATTGTCGCCGACCCTCAGCGCCACTACAAGAACGTTGTCGCTTCTGAAGAGTTCCCCGAGGACCTGCGCAACCGCATCACCCGCGTCATCGACGTTACCCACCTCAAGGCCAAGTTCAAGACATACGAGGCCCAGCGCCAGCTGTTCAACGACCATGACATCTTCCTTGCCGACGACAGAATTGTCAACCGTCTTCCCAAGCACCTGGGCAAGACCTTCTTCAAGAGCACCGCCAAGCGCCCCGTTCCTGTTGTGTTCATGAAGCAGAGGGAGAAGGTTGACGGCAAGCGGGTGGCCAAGCCCAAGGGTCCCAAGGCCAAGCGCGACCCCGTGGAGAATGTCAATGCTAGACCTACACCAGAGATTGTGGCTGAGATCCGCAAGGCCATTGGCTCGGCGCTCGTTTCGGTATGTTTCACTGGCTCGACAACTTTGTCCATCAAGGTACTTGTAGTTACACATTGGCTAACACGCATGTTTCTAGCTGAGCCCCTCCACCAACACCGCCATTAAGGTCGGCTATGCCAGCTGGGACGCCGAGAAGCTCGCGGCGAACGTCGAGAAGGTCATCAACGAGCTTGTCGAGCGCTTCGTGCCCCACAAGTGGAGCAACGTCAGGAGTTTCTACCTCAAGGGCCCCGAGACGGCGGCCCTTCCCATCTACCAGACCGACGAGCTCTGGCTCGACGACAGCAAGGTCATCGCCGACGGCGCCGAGCCCGAGAAGGCCAACATTGGCAAGAAGCGCAAGGCCGCCGACGACGAGACCGAGGCCAAGGCCGAGGAGGGTGCTAAGGACGAGAGCAGGCCGAAGAAGAAGGCCAAGAAGGCTGCTGCTGCCGCCGCTTTGCCCGAGAGCAACGACGACAAGCTCGACAAGGAGATTGCCACGCGGAAAGCGACATTGAGGAAGCAGAAGGCTGCGGCGAAGAAGGCTGTTGAGGTTTAATATCTTTTATTTTCTCTAAACTCTGATCTGAAGGGACTGACTTGGACTGGACTGGTTGGACTGGGTTTGATTGGTTGAAAGCGACAGGCAAGAGGAGAAGAATCAATTGTTGCTTGGCATTTGCTTGGCGTTTTGGCGTCCATGGTAAAACACAAAACACACGTTCGGGTTTCGTTGGAGTTGTTGTTGTACAAAGACAAAGACACACACTGTGGAAAGCTGGAAGTTAGGATGGGAGGTAGTATCTACTAGTTCTATGTACTAGAAGGCTGTTGATGAAGCGAAGATATCCTCATTATATTCATGTTTGAGCGGATTGGGTGTGGAAGTTGGCGTAGATGATGAAGACATTTCGATGGCGATGCTCATGGCTCTTGTTCTGCTGATGGCAATTTGGACCATGATATGTCTTTGGCTGTGTAAGTATGGTTGTCTAGTTAAGGGGATTTCAGTGCAAAACAACTTGCTAACGAATCAAGCGGTCAGCCGATGGAAAACGATATCCTTTCAATCAGATCTTCAATCAGATGAACCTCAACAAACAACAACAGACCAACGATCAGTAGGAATCACACAGCTCTCCCGGATTTTGACACTCGATGTGAGGCAACCCTACCCTTCTCGGTAGCATTATTAGACCGCGGAATAACCCGACAGCATTCAGTAACCAGAGAAGTGCCGCTACCTCACAATGAATTAATTGTTGGTGTTCAAAAAAGCATCAATTGACCTTGGAAGAGGTTCAGGACCGGGTTCAGCCACTATACTGAAAAGGGAAAAGTCAGTTCCCCACCCCCGGATTCTCAGTGGCGCTTGCCCAGAACGAACTGTCAGCGCGACTCTGCGGCACTGTGCTGCATAACCTGTCTCCGGCCGGCAGTGACACTTGCCCCACTTTTGCACAGTATGTATCCTCGTCTCTCAAGACTTGCGATTCGACGTCTGTTCTTTTCTCTCTCTCCTCACTCTCTCCTCACACACAGTGTACACCAGTCCATCTTGAGTTGCCTTTCCAGCTCCCATTTCAGCCTGTTTTTGTTGTTAGTGTGAGTACACTACAGAGAGAGGCATCCAGATCAACTGCCGAGAGCCACAAGACACCGATGAACGCCAATTGTCATGTTCTCTAAGCTTCCGCGGAGAAGTTCAAGAGGCTTTGTCAGACAACTCTTCGATTAACGTGGACGACTCGACACTTAGTGTACTCTTTGCTTCTCTTGCCTTCGAAAATACAACTTGAGGATGAAACATGGGAGTGTCTTCGGAATTCGGCATGGAGGAAATACCAAGTTTCAACCACTTCGGCCATCTCGGTGTTGTGGAGAGGCTTTCGCAAAGTCACATTGATAAGCCTTGACTTATAAGGGCGATACTACATCTCTCCACATTCCACGCTCCAAGACCCTGGGCTGAATGTCTCCGACAAGGCTCGCTGTCTACTTTTATTGCCGAGATGCTTTGTGTCGCTGATGAAGCTATCCCAAATCCCCGCCTTTCCTCCTCCTTGTGGCTGATCGACTGACCTCAAATGATATCAAGGCATTCAACGGTCACCAATGGCGATGGACAAAGTGTTCGGTTCGGCGCGGTGGATTCGTCTCATGGTTCGTCCTACCACCCTCCCTTGCCAGAAGCCTCAACCATCTCCTCTTCTCTCTCGGCAGATGTTTTTTCAAGATGTTGGGAGAGAAAGGATGGTTACCGGCTTCCCTATGGCCCATAGGAGCCCTTCTAGACACCTGGGTAGCGGTAATATATGACCTCACCCTACCACTTCCCGTGCAATCAGTCATGTCACCTACCTGTTTACTTGTGATATAAGCTGCCAGAACCAGGAGCAGCAGTCAACTTCAACAGTTGTCATACTACTACTATTATTCCTACAGTCTAGGTGGTGACACCAGAACGAAAAGTCTGTTTCTCGAGCTAGGCAGCAAAGATCGAGAACATTTTCGTTTAAATTTTAAATTTTTTTTAAAATTTTTTTTTAAATTTTCTTTTTTACGACAAGTCCTTCACCATCGGTGGTTAACGATAGTATCCTTACCATGGGTGTCGTGCTAAAAGTCAAAGATGGCAAAGTGTCACCGACACGAGTGCTTGTAGGCACAACCGCTACTGTGCTCGCCAGTTACTGGCTTTACATCCTCCTATTCGCCATCGTCATCCGTGCCGCCCACAAACGCTACGCCTCACCACTACGCAAATATCCCGGTCCCTTCTTGGCCTCCTGTTCGCGTCTATGGAAGGTCCTATCCACAGCAAGTGGCCGAACACACCTCGACCACATCGAGCTTCATCGCAAACACGGTCCTGTCGTGAGGATCGCCCCCAACGAGGTCTCGGTAGCATCACCTGAAGCAGCAAGGACCCTCCTGAGCGCCGGCAAGCGCTTCTTCAAGACTCCCTTTTACAGTGTCTTCCCACCGCCCGAGAACCCCGACATCTTCACCGAGATACGAGAAGATGTCCATGCCCAAAAGAAGCGAGTTTCCAACGTGCCCTACAGCATGGCTGCTATGCAGCAGTTGAGCCCCTTCATCGACGACACCATCGAATTGTTGGCGCGCAAGATCGACGAACACATTGCGCAGCACAAGGGAGTGTTTGACTTGGGCGATTACCTGCACTACTTTGCGTTTGACGTCCTTGGAGAGGTGGCCTTCAGCAGGAGTTTTGGATTTCTCGCACAGGGCCGGGATGTGGACAACGCCATTAAGACGATCGATAAGTCCCAAACATACAACGGCATCGTGGGACAAGTACCCGAGTTGGATCACCTGCTGAGAAGGAACCCACTGTGGCGGTCCATCCCGTGGTTGAGCACCAAGAATGCTCTAATCACACGGATGGCGCTCGAGGAAATGGGTCGGAGACAGCCTTTCAACAAGGACACAGCGGTGTTGCACACTGGCGATACTAGGCAGGATTTGATGGCTAGTTTGATCTTGGGGCATTTGAAATCTCCGGAGAAATTTGGTGTGGGGGATGTCTTTGCTGTTGCGCATGGTGCTATGTGAGTTGTTAACCACCCATCTCCCTCTTCATCTTTTTGAAGACATGATGACTGATCTTTTGTTTCTTTTGTTGCAACAGCTTCGCCGGCTCCGACTCCACCGCCTCAACAATGCAATCCTTCTTCTACCACGTCCTCTCCTCCCCCTCCACCTATCAGTCCATCCTCTACGAGATCCAATCCGCCGTTGCCACGGGTGTCATCCCCGCCATTGGCAACCTAACATGGAACGAAGCCCAGACCTTGCCTTATTTACAAGCGTGCCTCAAGGAAGCCATGCGCCTCCGTCCCGCCGTGGGACTAAACATCACCCGGTTCGTTCCTCCAGAGGGCGCAGAGCTTGATGGTCACTTCTTTCCTGGTGGCACGAGCATTGCTGTTAATGGGTGGGTGCTGCATCGTGATAAATTGACGTTTGGAAAGGATGCGGATGAGTGGAGGCCGGAGAGGTGGTTGGAAAACGAGGAGGAGGCGAGGAGAATGGAGAGGTATATGTTTCAGGTAAGTACCCTACATACCTCCCGAACAGATGTGGATGGAAGAGGCAAGATGCTAACGAACATGAGACAGTTCGGAGGTGGAAGCCATCTGTGCATTGGAAGGAACTTGGCGCTGTTGGAGATCAACAAGGTTGTTCCGAGACTGCTGAGGGATTACAGGTTTGAGCTGGCGCATCCGGGGAGGGAGCTGAAGGCTACTGCGTCCTTCTTTGTGGTGCAGAGTGGGTTGGAGGTTTTTGTGCGCATGGCCTGATTGTGATTTTTGGGTTTTTAGCGAGTCTAGGTTGTCTGTTGGTGTTGGTCAAGGCTTGTTTCCTTTCGCTCTCCGCCCAACAACTTCCCCCGGGCCTTACACACCTGCCAAAACGGCACGCGTCTGGTAACATCTGTGGTAGAAGCAACAAGTACAAGAACGAGAACACTAGCAACGTTCCAGTTAGCGGGATCTTTTGCCCAGGCACAACACTTGCCGTACCTTGGTAACGTACTTGGTGGATTCCAACTCTACGTGAAGTTCCAGACCACTTACCGAACATCTTACCTACTAGGTCGAGCTTTGAAGGGTAACAGATAGTACAACCTTGTATTCGCCTTTGGATGTACAAGTAATCAAGATAAACGAGGGCGGGAGGAAGCGAATGGTGACATCTGCGAATGGAAACCTCCGAAGCTCGAGTTTATCCATATTCCCAGCTTCCGGCCAGCACCACTGTGGCCAAGCTTACTGTGGAACTGAGACCAAAAATATCGATTTGCCAACTCCTGAATTAATGGCGACAGCTCAGTGTAGCAAGGTTCGGTTACCATTTCGACTCAACTCACGGACTTGTGTTTCCCAGCCCACGGAATGGCACCTTTTCTATCGTTCGAGTCTGACGATGGTTACCCAGTTGTTATTTCCTGTTCCATTGGCAGGGGCTGGTACTTCAGGTAGCGAGGAGAGGAAAGATATGGCCCAGAGCCGGTGAATCTAGACCAGGACATCACGGCTTGGTGTACGTTTGGACAAGGAAGACTTCGGGATCGGAACGCGAAGTGATATATAATTGCCAGCCCCCAAGCAAGTATGGTAATGACCATCCGCCCTCCTTTCATATGTGGAGTTTCTTGCGGGCGTATCACCCGCTTCAGATAGAGTGAGGGATCATCACTAACAATCGTGGAACGGAGAGTTAACGGCAATCAACCTACGATACACACCTCGTTCCTTCGACTCTTGCCGCCATGGGTCTCTTCACCTTGTTGCTAAGGGTACTTGTGATAACCTTGGCGACGATCTCCCACCACATTGGTTTTGTTTCCGCTCAAACAGGAACGGGATGCAACCGAACAGTCAAAGCCAAGGCCGGAGACACATGTGCCACCATCGCCGCCGCCAACGGGATAACCGTCTCCCAGTTTCTCCAGTCTAACCCCGACATAACCAGCTGCTCCCAGCTCACGGTGGGTTACGACTACTGCGTGGACGAAACGGCCACTGGCACCGCTGATCCGCCCACGCCGACGGGGCCAGATAAGACAGTCAGTACCGACGGCACATGTGGGAACAGGGTTACTTGTCTCGGATCCCGCTTCGGCAACTGCTGCTCGGAGCACGGGTTCTGCGGCGGGTCGGCTGATTACTGCGGGGCTGGGTGTCAGTCGGATTTTGGGATATGCGGTGTTGAGTCCGGAACTTCTTCGTCGACGAGCTCAGCGCCGCCGGTCACTTCACCACCCACGACCGGGCCCGGGGAGCCTTGTGGAACGGTGACGGTCACGACTACGAGCACTGCCTCGTACATTTCGGTGACTACGAGAACGGCAACGTCGGTTACTACGACGACCGCGACCATCTCGGCGACGGCAACGGCCACGGCTACGATCACGGCTACAGCTACGTCAGTGGTTACAACTACGGCGGATGGGACAACAGCTACGAGGACGGTAACTGCTACGGCTACTTCGACGTTGACAAGGACGGCTACTACAGGGGTTACCCAAACCTCCGTGATCTTGACGACGTCGACGAGTGTGGTTAATGTGACGAATACCGTGCCTATCACAGCTACCGTACCTGTCACGGCCACGGCCACGGCCACTTCCACGTTAACGCTTACAACCGTTACCACATCGACAGCTATAGCTACATCTACGGCGGGGGTTATTCGTACCATAACCTCAGTGATATTGACAACCTCAACAGCTACCGTCAACGTAACCAACACCATCCCGGTGATAGCCACGGTACCCGTCACCGCCACCACATTCATCACAACCACAGCAACAGCAACAGCAACCAACACCATCCCCATCACCGCCACCGCAACGACAACCTCCACTCTCATCGCAACCTCCTACACCGGTATCACCCGCACCTCCGTGATCCTGACCACCTCAACCAACACAATCGACACCACCAACACCATAACTCTCACGAAAATCAACACGCTCACCACCACCGTTCCAATCTACGTAACCAGTACCCAAACACAAACACAAACGCAAACCAAGGCCGTAACCACCACGGTCCCAGTGTACATCACCAACACTAAACAAGTCACAGCCACAGCCACAGCCACAGCCACAGCCACAGTGACAGTGACAGCTACTTCGACGACCTGGACCTACAGCTACAGCATCGCTACTCTAACAACCATCGTCACTGAAACCGAGACGTTGACGAGCGTCAAGACGTTGACGAGCACGAGGGTGACGCAGGTTACTAGTACGAGTACGAGTATTTCCATTGATACTTTGACGAGTATTGTTTATAGTACTGCTACTGCTACGACTATTGCGACTGCTACTAAGACGGTAATGGACACGAAAGCGCCGCCGATTGTGACGATGACTGCTACGGTGACAAAGCCGGGACAGGTAACTACGTATACGTATACGGTTACGAGTACCGTGACGGCGGTCCCGGGTGGTGGTGGGAATGGGAATGGAAATGCGCCGGGGCCGGTGGTGCCGGGGACTCCAAAGACTTGTTAGTTATTTTTTTTCCCCCTTTTTTCCCCTTAGAGTAGCCCCTTTTTTTTTTTTACATCAGTGGTTGTGATTCGCAGTTTGAAGAAGATAAAATTGTGCATGCGCTGACTCGAAACCTACGGTTTGTTGTGAGCGGCGGTAGGCAGGGCATACGATAAGATTACCAATGACGATAGTTGTAGGGATATTGCGAATCGGAATGGGTTGTTGTTGTTGGATTTGTGAGTTTGACCCCCTCCTCTATTTTTTTTTCTTTTTCCTTTTTTCCTTGAGATGAAATAGGACGCTAACGTGGGAATTCTCCTAAAGTTACAAACTCAATCCAGGGGTAAGTAAACAAAACGCCGGCGAGTGGTAGATTGTGTGAATTGTTCCTGTGCTAACCGATGGTTTTGTGAAATAACAGATCGACTGCGATCACTTGTGGCCGGGATACTACGTGTGTACTCGGGCATAGGAAGGGGAGCATGAAGAGTTATGGGAATGAATCGGCAAGAGGTTTGTTAGAGAAGAGAAATGGGTGTTGGAGTCGTACTGCAATGAATGAGTTGACCAAAATTTGGTCCTTGTTAATTACCTATCTGTCAGTGACAAAACGTTGATCTTTGAGTGTCTGAGGATGCCGAACACAATTGCGACTGAGGTGTACCTGCAGTAGGTATCTTGATGGTAGTGTCTTGGGTAGGGAACTGCACATACAGTAACTGAAAGTACAGTTCTTTGGCCGTTCTTTCAGCAAAGCTCCAAGTATTCCCGTTAGTGTATTGACTAGCCGCCTAACGCACCTCTAGCCCGCTCTGGTCCCGTCTGGCCCGCGGCTTAAGGGACATTCCGTTGCATTGATGTCAAGACTTCTCACTAAATAGGCGAATGGATGGTCACAAGAATAAACCAAACACGCCACGGTCAGAACATTACACCTCGGATATACTCTTTTACGCATCCAAGCGTCGTCATTGCACTTTTGAACCCGAACTCGAGGCGGTTCCTGGATGGAAAAACATCCAATGGACTCCGGCTAAAAATGTTTTCTAAAATATGGTAATCCCCATCACAATTTAGCCTTTCAACTACAACGAGCGGTTGATCGGTAACGACGAAAAAAACACCGAACCACTATCGTCAGCAGACACACTCTCCGGCGGAAAGGAGCGAAGAAAACAGACGATTCTTATTCAGACCGACACACACCTCCCGCGGGACCACGCGACAAATTCCTCGATCGGATATTGCAAGCTGCAGTTACCGTTACGTGGATCCAACGTCACCTGATGCACCCCTTCCCGATCTTCCTTTCTCCTTTTTCCTTCCCCTCGCTCTGCTTCCGTCTCCAAACTCCAATCCAACCAGCCGCTTTACCCCAGCTTGCCCAGCCTTTGCCGAGCCGTTGATGGTCGAATCGACGAAAACACCGACAACCCCACAAACGTGACATGGAAACGCCGGGGCCGACGGCTGGACTGAACTAGACTTTCAAATGTCAAGCTAGGTACACTACCATCTCCAGATCAGACCGACATTCCCCAGATGGCTAGACAAAAGAAAATACCCCAAGAAGCGAGGAAGAAAGCGAGCGGGGTATGGGGTATGGGGTAGTATGGGGTAGCCGTTGCCCGCTGGCGGTTTCTCCTCTATATGTGCATACCCGTAACCAACAAGTCAATCATTGTCACCCCATATTGTATCATTCCTTCCATACAGTTGCCTCTTCGACGATGATTTGAGGGGGAGGAGAGAAAGCCCGAGGGAACGCGGAATTTCTCGGTAGCTTGTCCCACCAGGTATCAGCATCAGCACCTCACTCAAATATCAAGGCCTTTCCAGTGTCAAGGCATGATATTAGATTGAACACTCTCTCCCACTCGTCAATGCCGCTCTAAACTATCTACTACTCTTTGCCATCTCTGATCACCAACACTGCAAGCATTGATCGACCTCGGCCGGTGATATCTCCAACAAATGACATTTCAACCCCGTCCATAACACCTGTCAAGGGGCTTGGCATCTTGAAAACATTCAACATCATACAGCAGATCTGAGTAATTCACCTCCATCGATTACATCATCGGTCCAGCATTCCCCAACCCACAAACAACCACCACCACCACCACCACCACGACAAAAAAAACACCAAGAACGCCTAGAGGTACCTACCTATCAACAACTCACCAAAATCCAAAACCATCAACCACTATGCCGAAACAAGCCTCCTCAATAACCACCCTCCTGTCCTCCCTCTCCGTCCTCGCCAAAGCCACCAACCCCTCCCGACCAGCCCGCGCTTCCCTCCGGATCCACTTCCCCGGCTCCCCCTCTCCCACCACCGTCTCCACTCCAGGCACGCCCCTCACCAAAGACGCTGCCGCCCTGCCCCCCTCTTACTCCATCTCCGCCACCGCCCTCTCCAACATTACTTTACCCAACTGCGACCTCAGTCCCGTCTCCAGCCACCACTCTTCTCCCTCTTCTTCTGGCCATTCTAGGAGAGGCTCCGAAGCCAACAACGCCGCCGGCCAGGTTCCTCATTACATGGTCATCTGTCTCGACCTCGACCCGCCGTTCCCAAGTTTTCCTGTCTTGGCACCGATTTTGCATTCCCTCGAAGCAGATCTGAGGTTGGTGACGGAAGAGTTGGATGCTGATGAGGGGTATATCTATCTAACGGCGGATGAGGAGGAGGCCGGGGGAAGTGAGGGGATAAGTCACCCTCCAAGAGGGGAAAGGAGGACAAAGCCGGTGGTGGGATACATGGGGCCGAAACCGCCGGGGGTGAGTAGTCCCCATCGCTATGTTTTCTTGTGCTGGGAGCAACCGGAGGGTGTGACGGGGCAGAAAGTGAGAGAGGTTTTGGGGTTGAATAACGATGAGGGAGGAGAAGAGGGGGAGGATGTGGGATTAGCGAAGAGGGTGAGATGGGACCAGGACGGCTTTGAGAGGATGTTGGGATTAGGGGATGTGGTGGCGGGAAATTATTTTGTTTGTTGATGAGGATGGTCTGATGTTTGGACAAGGAAGGTAGTGAGAGGAACGGATCAGGTTCAGGATTGTAGTAGGATGGGGAGATGAGGAGATTACGAAAGTTGGGTACTTCAATGTCCTACTTCTGGGATTTGCTGATCATGGATTTGGGTCAGGAAGACCGCAACGTTTGGCTACACACCCGAGATTGTACGAAGACTGTAATACTACCATATTCTTCGAACACTGCCCGCATCGGTCTTTTGGACCAAGCATTGATACATTAAATCCACTCTCAAGTTTCACATCCTTCTTCTTCACCTTCAGGATACTCACCACTCACCACTCTATCCTTCCTCAACTCCATCCCCTTCTCTTACCTACAAATGTCCCTTCTGAATTACTGAACTCTTCGAAATCTTCGGCCCCAGAGGCCCAAATGTCGTCGTTTGAGTACGGACACAGACTTTCTTGGACTGACCATCCTGATCATATGCCTTACGATCAATATAACGGTTTAGTTGACTGCGAGAAGACTTTAGTCTGTTTGGCTTCTCTCGCTACTTTGGTTGGGGTGAGTACATGGAGGCATTACGTTGGATAAAGATGGATGGCCGAAGATGACATTGTATTACGACATCACTTCGCTGAACCAGAACATATAATTTCGTTGGTATGCAAGGATCTTGGATTTCTTGACAAGGTGCTAATCCGCTCTCAATAGCTCAGATACACTCTGCTTTCCCATGGCTTCAATGTGCCAGCTTCCATACTAGACAAATTCTTCTTCTTCAGGGTAGTCACTAACAGCCGCTCCCCCCGGTGTTTGCATCCCAGCGTGGCTGCCACATTGAGGTTATGCTCCTGAAGGATAGCCGGCTTTCCAGAGAAATTCATGATGACTAACGCCTTCCTCCTCTTGTCTGCCAGGACACCACTCGCTTCCGAACCTTGATCGTCCTTGACATAAACAAATAGTGTCTCGTCCTCTTGCAGTACAGGCCTGAACGCACCATGCACGAACAGCCCGCTGTATTCCTTTCTCAACTTCAGGATCTTCTTGTAGAACCCCAGGATGGACTCATCATCTCCCTCCTGCTTCTCCACGTTCAGATCTCTAAACCCATCATGCACCCTCATCCACGGCGTCACTCCAGCAGATGTGAAACCGGCATTGGGCGATGCATCCCACTGCATCGGTATCCTCGAGTGATCTCTCGCCAGGATCCTCAAGCCCTCCTCCGTCTTCCTTATCCTCTCTGCATCCCCAGATGCCTTTGCCTCTCTGTAAAAGTTCAAGCTCTCAACATCCTTATACTCGTGCTCAATCGGCCACTCCTTCGGCATATTGACCATACCAATCTCTTGCCCCTGATACAAGAAAATCGTCCCCGTCAGCGTTGCCTGCCACAACGCAATAGTCTTTGCGCTCGCCTCCCACGACTCCACCGTCAAATCATCTCCAAACCTTGACACCGCCCTTCCGTTATCATGATTCTCGCAAAACACCGTATGCCACCCATCCGTACCCTCCAGCCACTGCTGCCACGTCGCCACATACGCTTTCAGCTCCGACAGCGGAAACTCTCTATAAAGATACTTGCCGTGAAACGGCCCGCCCGTGCCCAAGCGGATGGTGCTAAACTCAAACACCATATCCAGCTCCTTGGCCGCAGCAGAGACATACGGCAGGACCTGGCTCGGCAGCGGCGTGTTGGATAGCTCGCCCACCGAGACGGCATTGTACGGCGCCAGCACCTGCTCGTTCATTTCGCGGATGAACTCGTGAATGCGCGGGCCGTTGCACCACATTTCTGCGGCGGGCTGGTCCGTTTCGCCCGGCATGGTGACAGGCGCATCCGGGAATTCGGTGCGCTTGGAGTACTTGTTGACGGTGTCGATGCGAAAGCCGTCGACGCCGCGATCGAGCCAAAAGCGCATGGCCTCGTTGTAAATGGCCTTGCGACACTCCTCGTTCTCCCAGTTCAGGTCGGGTTGGGAAGTGTCGTACAGGTGCAGGTAGTACTCTTGGGTTAGCTCGTCCCAGGTCCAGGTGGGACCGGCAAAGTAGCTGCGCCAGTTGGTGGGCGGTATGCGGTTCCCGTTGGCGTCGTAGCGGGCCGGCTTCCACATGTACCAGTCGCGCTTGGGGTTGGTTTTGGAGGAGCGCGATTCTTGGAACCACGGGTGTTGGTCGGAAGTGTGGTTGACGACCAGGTCGAGGATCAGCTTCATGCCGCGGGCGTGGCAGGCGGCGATCAGGTTGTCGACGTCGGAGAGGGTGCCATAGCGGGAGTAGACGGCTTGGTAATCGGAGATGTCGTAGCCCATGTCTTTCTGGGGAGACTCGAACATGGGGGACAGCCACACGCAATCGATGCCAAGGTCGTGGAGGTAGTCGATTTTGGAAATGAGGCCGGGGATGTCACCCCAGCCGTCGTTGTTGGTGTCTTTGAAGCTGGCTGGGTAGACTTGGTAGAAGACAGCTTCTTTCCACCAAGGAATCTTACCCACGCATAGGGAGGTGTCGTTTACGGAACCCATGATGGATTAGGGCTTGAGCTCAATGTTGATTGAATCCGATACTTCAGTGTTTTGTAAGCCTCGACCCGCTATCAATTTCTGAATCGATGTACTCACAGAATGAGATCAGGCTTTTGTCATCGATCAAAACAGATGAAGTCTGTTGGGGAACACCCAAGTAAGTGAACAAATTTTTCGAGTTGATGAAGTCTCTAGGGGTGTGTTATAAAGGCAGTTTATGAGGATCATCTGACCCCAACTACTGGAGTACAGATGAAGACGAAAGGTTGAAGAGAGGAGATTTCCTGGTACAATCTTCATACAACGTCGTGAGAGAGGGGTACGATCCTACCTCTACACTGTACTTATCCACGAAGAGCATGATGGATCAGATGAGGAGTAAGAAAATCATCATTAGCGAGATCAAAAGCAGACTTTCGGCTAGCCGAGATCCCGCTCGATAGGAAAGTCGGAGTGTCCATATCGGAGTTGGAGCTCAGGTGCTGTAAAGATATCGCCTCGGTTCATCTCCTCATATGGTTGAATGAACTTCCTGGTGTTGGGACTGTGGTTGCCACTGTCTTTGATATCAATGTCTTTCAATCTCCGACCTCCTTGTCGTTTGTGAGATCTTGTGGGGACCGCTTTGGAAGTCCGGAGGTACGAGAACACTAACAATTCATTGCTCGTCGAAGACTGATTAAGTGCGCTATTGATGATACTTGCCAAGTATCCTCGACGTAGCGAAGTCATGACCCGAGAGTCCCATTGGTTCAACCACCCTCAGCCCAAAAAGAGGGTGTCGTTTACACGATCAAAGGGCCAGGAACTCCGACACCCTTGTCCCCAATGCAACCCTCATTCTTTCTGACAGATCCACAGACGTCACTGGCTTGGACTTTTTCCCTCAACTTTATTGGTTTCGAGGCATTCTTTCACAGTCATTCACACCGGCCCAGCACTCTGGCTCATCTGGAAATCGCCATGTGCCATGTGCCATATGCCGGGGCAAAACGCGAGACAGGGAAAACGAGATCCCCCTTACCCCGGATTTGTGAACCTGGGCGACTAAAACGTGGGGTGCGGGGAATGGAGAATGGACCAAAGAACATATGATGTGACCAGACCGTCTAGACTACCTCTAGACTATGCCGCAGAATATTTAATCCCTTTTCGACAGGGTGATGATGTGTGGAATGTGATGTCTCCCTATTCTAGATGGTAATGGTTAAGGTTGAGCGAAGCTACTAATCTTTTTCCAGACCCGGGAAACGTATCATCACTCTCTTCTGGTTAGATTTGGGTACAGAGCAAGACCACGGTTGTCGCACCCGAAGGACGGAGGGCGGAGGCTGGCTTTTTTTTTTCCCCTCCCCGGCGGCAACGTGGCCTGGCCTGGATTCTCGGGACAATGTACGGCAATGCCGATGACGATCCACCTACCGGCGGGCAGACCACTAACACGGTCTATTCGACCCTTTTTGGGAATCTCCCCCCCTCGATACTGGACCACGATGTCTGTGATTGCACACATAAAGGCGCTCGATTTCCTGACCCCGTTTTGCCATTCTTTCCGTTTCTTCTTTTCTTTCTTTCTCCGTTCCCAAGCTCTTTTGGGACTTGGATATTCCTTCATCGCTTCCTCCTGAATTATCTTCCTCATAGTATTTGGCCGAGTTCAGCACTCTTCCACCACCGCAATGGCGGACCAAAACCCCCTTGCCTCTTCGCCTGGAAAGGCCACAGAGGCGGGCACCACCACCGCCATCCCCCAAGCCCAAGCCCAAGCCCAAGCCCAAATCCAAGACGACGACGTCGTCCTCGTTGAAGCCAAACACGCCGCCGACACCGAGCACGAAATGACCCTCCTCCGCGCCATCAAGCTCTACCCCAAAGCCATCGGCTGGTCCGTCCTACTCTCCTCGACCTTGATCATGGAGGGCTATGACCTCGCCCTCCTGGGGGGCTTATACGCCTCCCCCGTCTTCAACAAGAAATTCGGTGAGCTCAACCCGGCCACGGGCAAGTACGCCGTTTCCGCTGCTTGGCAGTCGGGTCTGTCCAACGGGGCAAGAGCCGGGGAGATCTTTGGTTTGATCTTTGCTGGATGGGCAGCTGATCGGATCGGGTACAAGAAGACGACGATTGCGAGTCTGGTGTTGATGATTGCCTTTATTTTTGTCTTGTTTTTTGCGCCGAATGTGAAGGTGTTGGTGGTTGGGGAGATTCTTTGTGGTGAGTTGCATTCCTATGCCTATGCCTATGCCTACACGGTGGAGGTAGGTACCTTTGCAAGGGTCAATACACACATACCTACATATGTATATGTTTGACATGGGAACGTTTTAACGTTGTATGCTTGCTAACAACCTTCGGTCCGAACCAAAACAGGTATCCCCTGGGGTGCCTTTCAGAGCGTTACACCCGCCTATGCCTCCGAGGTTGCGCCGATGGTGCTTCGCCCGTACCTGACAACCTTCATCAACATGTGCTGGGTAATTGGCCAGTTCTTCGCCGCTGCCGTCAACAAGGGCTCCGTGGGCCGGACCGATCAATGGGCGTACAGAATCCCCTTTGGCGTGCAGTGGGTGTGGCCGATTCCCATCCTCGCCGGGCTCGTCTTTGCTCCCGAGTCGCCTTGGTGGTATGTCCGACATAACAGGAGGGAGGAGGCCAAGCAGTCGCTGCTCCGTTTGACCTCGAGGAATCAACCCGGATTCAACGTGGACGAGACGCTGGCTATGATTGAGCATACCAATGAGCTCGAGAAGCAGCTGAAGGAGGGTGTCACTTTCCGCGACTGCTTCAGGGGTATTGATCTTCGTCGTACGGAGATCGTCGTGGGCATCTGGCTTGTCCAGACCCTCGGCGGCCAGAACCTGATGGGTTACTTCTCCTACTTCCTCACGCAAGCCGGCATGGACCCGAGCAACTCGTTCTCGCTCTCCATGGGCCAGTACGCCCTCGGTATGGTCGGCACCGCCGGGTCATGGTTCCTCATGTCGCGCGTCGGCCGTCGACGCATCCATTTTGGCGGTCTCTGCGCGCAGTTCTGTCTGCTCGTCATCGTCGGCTGTCTCACCTTTGGCGGAAACAAGGCCTCTGTGTGGGCCATCGGCGGCGTGCTCATCGCGTTCACGTTCGTCTACGACTTTGCTGTCGGACCGGTGACGTACTGTCTCATCTCCGAGCTGTCGTCAACTCGTCTAAAGGCCAAGACCATCGTGCTTGCCCGTGCAGCGTACAATGCTAGTAACATCTTTGTCAATGTAATGACGAATTACCAGCTGAGCTCGACGGCGTGGAATTGGGGCGCTAGGACGGCGTTCTTCTGGGCGGGTAGCTGCTTGTTGTCGGCTATATGGGTGTTCTTTAGACTGCCGGAGCCGAAGGGGAGGACATATGCCGAAATGGATATTTTGTTTGCGAAGAAGGTGACAGCGAGGAAGTTTAGGAAGACCAAAGTTGATCCTTTTGACTTGCGCAGTCATGGTGAGAAGAAGATGTCGCTTGAGAAGATGGAGAGTCATGAGGGGAAGGAAATCTAGGCTTAAAGGATGAGATTAGAGAGAAAAGTCTGTTGCCTGATTGGAAGCGACACAATGGTACCTTTGCTGCATTTAAAATTGACGGTTCCTGATTACAGTCAGTGAGGAAGTGTGAGTGTCTCGAATTATTCCTCGAGAATGAAGTCAAGTTTGGGGGTCAGTAACCATGGCCGGTCATGGCTTCAGACTCGATGACCGCTTGACGTGAAAAGAATATATCTTGCGAAGCGCAAAGCTGGGATGAGTCCATGTCAACGAACTGAAGTCAACACCGTACGGCTTCACACGTAAACGAATGCTTACCAGACACAATATCTGTTGATGCCGTGGATGATTACTTCAATACCACATTTGCCTCCTTTCTAGGCAGCCGCTCTGTTTCCCTTTTCAGGCGGCTTGGTGACTCTTTAGGGGCTAGTGCCAAGTCAATATAGCCGGTATAATGCCGTAAAACTTGAAACGAAGGGCAGGGTTTCATTGGAGCGACATCTAGGTCATCCCATCATCATGTCCGATTCCAGGCTTGCGAACCTGTGGCCTTCTTCTCCTTTTCCACCACCATTTTTGCCAGTCATAGTGGGACGGACCGTGACGGAGCTCGGCCACACAAAGACACCCTCGCACGTTTCTCGCGTGTGCCTTAAGACCGATCCCAAGAGGCGCGTCTTTGATCCGATTTCCTGGTTTGGGACGGGACGAGAAGAGGGCAGGGACTGGCACCGGCGGCATATTTAAACTCACCATGGGAGAGAAGGACAACGCTTTTGGGCGATAGGCGACGACATGGGTGAGAATGACTATGGCGATAACGCTTTCGTCAACCGACATGTCCCCGAGGAGGGAACCGCTCCTGCGACTGCTGGCCATTCGGCTCAACCCGTACCCGCACCCACAAGCGGCTCGTTTTTCTCGTCCAATGCGGTAGCGTTATTGTCGTCGCATCACGGTGACGTGTCTTCAGTAGCATCAGCAGCAGCTTCCGGTCCAGGTCCAGTACGAACACAGAAGAAGAGAGCCCAGGTGTCCAAGGCCTGTCAACGATGCAGAAGACTGCAAAAGGGGTGTAGCGAATCGAGGCCATGTCAGAGGTGCATCGGTGTCGGATTGGAGGATCAATGTCTCCGGAGCGAGAGGATGATTGGGTGTCATCAAAGTGGAAGTCGACAACATGGACAACACCACCAGACGCAGACACATGTTCTGCTGCCCCGAGCTCATGTCCATGCCGGTGGACTGGCACCAGCTACAGCCACAGTCACAGCTTCAACAGGGACGACAACAACAACAACAACAACAACAACAACGACATGGTCCTTCACCCAGCTCCCAGCCAGCCCTGAAAGTCTGGTCAACTACCCTCTCTCAGGCGGTGCAGCATCAGCCAGCTCTCCTCACCAGGTTCAGCAACATCATCATCAACAACAACAGCAGCAGCAGCAGCAGCACACAACCCCTCTTCCCAAGCCAGTACTCGACCACTGCATCAACCGCTTCTTCTCCCGCCTCTACCCCACCATTCCCATCCTCACCCCTACCTACATCAACCACCTCCTCCACATCTCTTCCTCTCCCCAGCCCAGCCAACCCCTCGGTGACAAAGGCGCCGAAGCCCAGACCCTCCTCCTCTCTCTCTGCGCCCTGACCCTCCTCCAAATCGAGCAGCCTTCCCATTGTCTCTTCACCTCCATCGGCATCCCGCACTCCAACTCCGTCTACGGCCGATTACTCTTTGAAGAAGCACAAGCCAGCCACCATCGTCAACTTTTGGCTTCGGGCACAAATACTGGTACAGGTACAGGTACACCACCAAAGAGGTTTGCCCCGACGTTGGAAAGGGTGTTGATTACCTTTTTCTTGTACGCCTGTCACGCGGTGCTGTTTCATCACTCTCAGGCCTTTTTTTGGTTAAGGGAGGCGACGACGCTGTGGGTTGTTTTGAGAGTTGGTTGTGATGATTCTTCTGGATCTGAAGAAAGAAAACAGGGCGAAGAAGCAGAAGAGGAAGATGGGGAAAGAGGGGGTGAGATGACGCGGACGAGGAAAACCCTGGCGGATCGGTTATTTTGGGTGCTTTTGGTGAGCGAAAGGTCGCATGGAATTAGGTATCGGAGGCCGATAACGCTGCAGATTACGCCCGCCACGCCATCGCTACCTCTGGATATGGGCTGTGCCGATCCGGAGTTGGCAGGGTTGAGTAGCTTGGTGGCGCTGTTCAGGCCGTTGGATACGGGGTTCATGGCGTTGTTGAATCAGGAGGTGACAATGACCTCGAGCGCATTTGGGAGTCCGGCGATGGTGGCGGGGCCGTTGGATGTGGTGGAAAGAGCAATTGCGGAGGCGGTGCCCGGTCCTAGTCCGGGTCCAGTTTCCCTCCCGTCCATGTCGCCAGATGGACACCTGATGGATTCAATGTGTGTTTCTTCCCCTCCACCTCCACCACCACCACCACTTCCTCCCTTTCCTTCTCCTCCTCCTCCTCTTCCGAACACGACAATCCATTCCCTCGTTCCCACCAGCCACCTCCACACAACCCAAATCGCCAACCTGAAAATCACCCAACTCTGGCTGCGTGTGATCCTCTGGCAAATCCGCTTGCGCATCGGGTTATTGATCCCTCCCCCTCCCCGTCCTCCTCTTCCTTCTTCTCCTTCCGAACCCTTGGTAACTTCCCAGCTCCCCATTAAGGAATCCTTAACCTACCACCACCCCCTCTCCATCGCTCACCAGCTCGTCCAAGTCACCAAATCTTTGCCCCTAGAAAGCATCCGCGTGCATGGCGTCGGGTTGACGGAGAAGGTCTTTGATGTCGCTTGTGCCATGGTGGATGTACTTGCCAAGGTGCCTTTGGAGGATCGGAGAAGGTTTTCTGGGTCGATGGGGTCCTTGCTAGAGGTAATGACAAGGGAACGGCAGGAGGAAGAGGAAAGGGAGGATTTGGAGTGGATCAGAGGGTTGATTCATCGGTTACCGGGTGGGAGCGCAATTTATGACGATCTGTTGGGGAAACATATCGCTGGTGTGTTGCCGGATTGGGGGTTGAGGGGTTTTTGAGGGGGATAATGTGGTGGTGTTGATGTTTGTGGACGATTTTGGTTACTTTTGGGAAGAAAATGGGATTTGGATACATACTGGTGTTCACTTGCATTGAGGAAAGATGTGCAAAAACAAGATGGGAATGATGTAATCTTGTATGTATCGACACAGACGCATATATTACGTCGATGGTGAGCTTGACCTACAGAGGAACAAACACTCAAAAGAAATTCAAAGCTGTTAAAGGACAAAAAAAATGGATTGGTGAACACGAGAGAGGAGAACAAAAAAAGGAAATATGGTAACCCTGAAGAAAAAAAAAAAGAAAAAAAAAAAAAAAGGGAAAAGTGCAAAAAGAATCGCCCACGGCGAGACTCGAACTCGCAACATTCAGATGGCTTAGAAGGCCTTGTTACAGGCTTCTTAAAAGTCTGACGCGCTAACCAATTGCGCCACGCGGGCTTTTTTGTGTGATTGGCCGTGCAAAACATCCACCTATAAACTTGGAATGACCTTGTGCTTTTGCTCAAAGATTCATGCAAAGAACACAATGAGCACCATCACCAGCAAAAAGAAACCAAGCCACTCCTTGCACCCACATCAACAACCAGTTCGAACTCCTGTGTGTCAATAAAGAAATATATCCAGCTTTCATTGCATTCCCATTCCCACCTCCACATCCATACTCTCTCCTGGGGTATATGTTCCTAGTACCTTAGTCTGACTAATAATGCACTTTGTTCCATTCCTTCCATCGCCCATTGTCCATTGTCTATCACCCATCTCTTCTCAAGACCTTTTATCCTATCCTAGTCCATCCAGCCATAGCAACCCGTTCTTAGCCCAAGTTGAACTCACTAGCCATATTGCCCATCATCATCTTCATCTTCTCCTTCATCCTCCTGCCCGCATCCTCATCCGCCGCACCAAAGTCCCTCTCATCATCATCATCCTTCTTCGGCCTCCTAGCGGTGCCATCGCCCACAGACTTGCTCGTCTTGTTAGTCTTATCACCCGGCTGCACCGGCCTGTGCGTCCTCCTGGAGACGCCACCGCCAATTCCACCGGGAGCCTCGCGCAACCCGAACGCCTTGGCCATGTGACCGAGATGTAGCGCGGTAATGTCAAAGTAGACGCGCTCCTCGCGAACGTGCGTGGCGTAGGCACGGATGTGTGAGCGGAACGCTTGGCGGGCGGAGACAAGGAGGGGGTTGTCAGGTGTTTTGTTTTCATCCTTCTTGGCGTCCTTCTTGCCCTTCTTGCCCTGCTTGGAGGCGGCGAATTTCTCGCTTTTGGATTCGAAGACGGGCGTGGCGCCGGGCAGGGGAGCGAGGAGACGCTGTTCGAAGTGTAGTTGGAGAGCTTCGGCGCGGGAAGCCCAAGATTGACGATCGGTTTCGAGGATTCCGGACTCGGTGCCAGGCACGTTGATGTTTGTGGCGAAGCCCTTTTGGAGGATAGAATCGTACAGCTGGGGTGCGATGGGGGTCGATTTGGGCAGGATGGAAATGTAGCCTTCTTCGGAACCGGGGAGGAGGAAGAGCACGGCTTTACCGGCGCGACCGGCACGGGCGGTACGACCGATACGGTGGACGTGGTCAGGCACGGCGAAGGCCGGGTCGTACTCGATGACAAGTTCGACGGCCGGAACATCGAGACCACGGGAGGAGATATCGGTGGTGATGAGCACGGCGGGGTCCTTGCATTCGCTGAAGGCCTTAAGGGTAGCGCTACGAACGGGCTGGGCGAGCGAACCGTGGAGCTTGTGTAGCACCACCGTGGGGTTGGCTGGGGAGGTAATGTATGTTGCTGGCGCGACGGTCGACTCGATGTGGATGTTCGGCTTGGTGGTGGGAGCTTCGCCTTCAGGCTTGGGCTCGGGCTCAGCACGCGGTGTGGTAGACTTGAGAAGTTCAAAGTGGTAGTCAACCGAGTCGGCACATGAGATGAAGATGATGGCCTTCATGACTGAACCCTTCCTGGCAAAAGTTGACTTGAGCAGGGCAATAAGCGTGACCAGGCGCAACTTGGCGGGCGTAACGATAGCGGCCTGCTTTAGCTGGGCGGGTGCGGAGAACGCCGTCTCCACGGCACCAGTCTCCGCATCCTTCTCCATATCGCTCTTGGACGCTGTGATGTGAACAGCATCCTCCAAACTGATCTCGCCCAGCTTCTGGACGTTCATTTTCATGGTAGCCGAGCAAAGAACCGTGACTCTCCTCGAAGGGAGAACACCGTCCAAAACCACACCCTCGGCGTTCTTATTCTGTAGTGTACCAGCCCTGATCTTGCCGACGATAGTCTTGATATCATCCTCAAAACCCATTTCCATCATGCGATCACCTTCATCGAGTACCAACCAGCGGACCGTACCAACGTCGAGAACCTTTGTGTTGTCGAGATGATCTGTCAAGCGGCCGGGAGTAGCGATCAGGATGTTGACACCCTTTCTGATGCGCGCCTTCTCTGACTTTTTGCTTTCACCACCTATTACCGTGGTGCAGACTAGCCAGGGAGCGCAGCGCAGCACTTTCTCGAGGACAACGGCGATCTGCTTGCAGAGTTCGCGGGTAGGAGCAAGGATAATAGCGAAGAGTCCCGAGTTGCGGTGCACCTTGGTGGTCTTTGGGGTACCGTCCTCGTTGTGACTGAGGGCCAATATCCTGTGGACGATGGGAAGAAGGTATGCTAGCGTCTTTCCGGAACCCGTCTCGGCTTGGAGGAAGGCATCACTATCCTCCTTGACTAGTTGTGGTATCGTGTTCTTCTGGATGGCGGTCGGGGCCTTCATCTCGAGCTTCGTCGCCAGGTGCTGGGATACACGTCGGGAAAGACCTAATGAGAGGAAATTCTCTGCTTCGGCACTGAGGGGAGCGTTCGAAGGTTGTGCAGGCTCGGCTTCTTCGGCTTGGGGAAGCTCCTCGAAGTCGGTTACGGGAACGGGATTCGAAGTAAACAGTCGCGACGATACGAGGCCAGTCTTCATGGCATGTGTCGGCGGCGGCGGCGGACCTCTCTCGGCGGCATTGCCTGTTCGTGGGGTCTTGGAGAATCTGCCCGAGTCGCCATCTTCTGTCCGTTGACGTTTCGCGGCTCTGTTTGTGTAGTAGTCGGCGCCGGTATCTCGTCGAGCTGTCGAGGCCTGTTTTGTCTGATCTTGTCCACCCTTCTCGCCCTTTTGCGCCTTGACTCTGTCCCTCCACCGGCCACCTGTGTACTTGACCGTCTGCTTGATCGGAGCATCTCCGATCTCAAAGTTGAGAAACATATCACCGTCGTCCGCCATTTTGACTGATTTTGCGGCAAAGAGAGGTGGCGTGTATTGGTGCCGGAAAAGATGGATTGGAAATGGGGAGTTTCAATGGTATCGATGGACTGGAAGACAGGAATATTCTGGGTATTGGCAAGAAAAAAGTTCAACGTCCATGTCGATCCCCGCAACACAGTGGCTCTCAGTGGACTGGCACTCTGGGCCGTTGCACTGAAAGTGGAATTGGGTCCTTGGCCAGATCAAACTGAAGTGGGGCTCTCGCCTCGCTGTGTAAGTGAACCGTGTTGACTCGCACTGTACCTGCATCATTCACTCACCACGCGCCTTCAACATAAAACACAAAACACTACCATTGCATGTGTCTTGGGAATAATCGAGTTGATATAGCTACAAGATTCGTGATAACTTCTCGTTGATTGTTGCTATTAATACATGGGTACTGGTAATTCGACAAAAAACCGCCGTGAACTGCCAACGATGTCAGGGACTGCTGCTCGAAACAGTCGCAAAACATGTACGCATATCATAACATTTCCTTGCCAAAATATTTCGTTGTTCTCTAGTAACACTGAATTCTCCAGAGTCCGAGAATTTCTCACAAGAAGGTTCAGTAAGCGGCTTGGTAGAGTTCCAGAGTCGTCCCATCATAGGCGAATTTCTGGTCTCGACGTTCAGAACGCATTGAGTCCATGACGAAGGTTAAGCTAAGAACATACCCCACCTAGTCAAAAGATACGCGTGTCACACTCGAAATCAGAAGGAGTCTTTCACAAGATCTCTGTGTATCTTGTCAGAGACAGAGCTGGTTCAGATCGGGGATTCGGGAAGGAGGCCGCGAGCGCCCGAACTCGTCTAGGGTGGTATTTTTGGCCAGATCTTGCGCGTATTGGGACTTCTTACGGAGAGTTGGTCCGTAGATATACGTTATATAGATAGCCGCAACAAGAAGAAGGGATATGGCGAATAGAATGGTGTTGGCGATTTCCAAGTGCCTCTTCCCACCAATGTTGCTGACAAAGGGCGTGGCCGGCACCGTTAGGACACCAGCAAGGAAATCGCGAGCCCATCCGTTACCTCCGGTAGCAGAAGCTGAGTAGGGACCGTAAGCGCAGATCATATACTGTTGAGTATGTGGTTAGCATGTCTTTTGTCGGTCAATGAGGTAGAACCTAAGCTTACATCTATGGTGGCCATGTAGATGGAATAGTTCGCAATGCCAATGAAGGTAGACCCGACCATGGTCCCAATCCAATGTATGGGCGGTCCACTGCACGTCCAGGCAAAAATGATCAGACCTATGGGCAAGCATGGCGCAGTCCAGAGAAGCCACCATAGTCGAGATTCATACTGCGCATGCTCGCTGTGCGGTTTCAGATCGCGCGCCCTCTTGTTGCGCTTAAAGACTGGTAAGAAGGACAGCCAGGCGATCAGGTACCCTAAGCCAATTGGGACGAAAGCAAGGCCAATTTGGATCTCGGAAAATTCCCATTGATGGTAGACCAGAACAAAGGACTGGATCTGCATAAAGATGAGGGCATCAGAGAATCCCGACAGTAGTGAGAGAGTGAGGACGATCGGCTCCGTAACAAACATTCGAAAGGGCCGGCCCCAGTTTTTCAACAACTCTTCCCAGCTGAAGCGTTGACGGATGGGACAGAGTTCATTGGGGCCGTAGAGATTGGGCGCCATGCCTGACTCTCTGCGCTTCTTGGCGATTCTGTCGAGATGGATAGTACATCTCGTCTCT